TGCCTTTTGGTGCTCCAATCATTTTGACTTTTTCTTCAAATACTGCTGCAAATACTGCTGCTGTAAATATACACCAGGGTGTTTTTAGGTAGGAATACTATTAACATTTCAGGCCACAGCTGCAGATTTCTGTCCAGTCAGCTTTACATTTGCTTCACAGGGCATACAAGTAGAAAACCTTTTATTTTTTCTTGGCGATTCTTTACTTTTTTCTTGTTCCTTTCTCAGGTATTGTTCTTTTTAGTTTTATTCTGAGGCTCCAAATTTACACTGTTGACTTATATAGAAAAGGGATTGTTAGAGATTTCTATTTTAGCTCCATATATATTTTTCCTGTTCATTTACTTAGTGAACTCATTATCAGGCTGCCATACAGATTCTATTAACTTGGCAAAAGGAAGCATTCACTCCGTTACCCACAATGAAAAACTCTCAGGATATCCCCCCAGCACTGAACAATTCAGAAGATCCCACATCTCAGCACGCAAAGCATCCTGGTTACTATTCTCCTTTCCCTCTGTTGAATTATCCAGGGAAACTCCTGTCAGCTCACTTAGATATCTACTTGCCTGGTATAATATGGGTCACTGATATGCAGAATACCATAGTCTGTGATTGAAATGAATGAGAATCTTATTTTTGGGATGGGACTACATCATAATAAAAAATATTGCTTACAACTCTGTTGTTTTGCTGTGGGGAGCCCTCTTGAATTTTGAGGCAAAAGAAGACTTCAAGCCCTGCAGGTAGAAAAATAAGATGACTCTGATGTGAAGACTGACCAAACTCTTTTGGCATCTGGAAACTAGAACCAGGATATACATAGGAATGCTGTGGTTGAAATGAAAAACTCATCTTCTATCTTGTTGTTCTTAGTTTCTTTACCCTATTCAACACATCACTATCAAAGTATGTGTATTAATCAAGGCTCCTCCATTAAAAAAATGTTTTCCATTTTGAAATGTATCCTTTGGGACAGACTTTCCAGTTTGTGCTAAACATAAGCTTCATAGTTAGCACTAGAAAATTCCAAAGAAGCTGAGAAGTAATGTTTCTTTTACCTAGCATCCAGTATTTAGCTCTCTTTTTTAGCTGATGATGAAAGTTTCTGGCTAGAATTTCCTGGGGAAGTCTCAACTATAACTGAAGACAGCACTTTAGAAAAAAAAATCTATATACATTATTAAGGGTTTTCAATTCCTTGAATATTAGTATTCTAGATGATGGTTTCTATGGCAGGAGCAGGTTGTTGCTTGACTTCCAATTAAAAGGAATGAGCCATTTGAAATAGTTATTCTGAATATATTTTTCTTCTTTTGAAAAAAAAATAGGTGTCCAATAATGCATTATCAAGAAAAAGCATAACAGTTCAGAAGCAAAAATGGAAGCAGATTCTAATGCGCTACCCATCCCTTTAGCACATAGTGGATTCCAGTTTTTTGGCAGGCAATGCCACAGAAACAGGAATATAATTCATATTAATAATATGAAATGAGAGCAAGGAAGAAAATCCTGGAGTTAGGAAGATGAGAGATATTTGAAGACACAGGGACCAAAAACTAAGCAAAACTGAGAAAGTTGCTTATAGTACAAGTGAAAGTCAATCAGACTATGAAAACAAATTACATAAAAATAGTATAATTGCAGATTGAGTGTCACATCTGAAAGTTAGAATATTTGCCAATAGCAATGTATGAAATATTTCTGAACCAATTTGTAAAATTGCTTGGTCTGTGTCTGAACTATATGTTTAGAAATTCTTGGTCTGTATATAGAAGGAAACACATAGATTGAACTGCAATTGTTCCTGACAAAAGCTTATGTGGGAATATAAGAACAGTTAAAAAATAAGGACATTATGCAGCAGCAGTTGAGAGAAAGTAGGAAAGGAAAGGAAAGGAAAGGAAAGGAAAGGAAAGGAAAGGAAAG